AATAGCAGCTAACAACAACATGATTGGGTTCCAACATAACTTCGAAGGCTTAATGCCTATGATTCTCTCTGTTGCATCTTAGTCTTCATTCAAACCCATACCCCTTGTTGCCTTGCTCTCCTTACCCATGTGTCGTTTCTTATGCTTTTCCTTTCGCTTAGAAGGCCCTTTCTCTATCTTCATAGATGTGTATCTCATCTGACTTTCAAGATCTAGTTCAAATGCCATTTCTTATATGAAGCATCCTATAGTCTAGCATTCAACAAATCTTTACCAAGTGCCTATTTTGTATCAGGTACTTAGCTAAAGCCCTTGGAGACAAAAGCTTACTTCTTTTTCCCTTCCCAGCTAAAAGTAATCTCATTTTTCTGAATTCTCACAGCAAACAGGTGTATTTTCTGGTACGTAACATGTTCAATATCATAGTGAATTCCTTTATGTTCATATACGATTTTCTCCTATCAGAATGAGCCTCAAATTTTCTTAAAACAAGGCACTTGATAAATATGTGTTAAATAAATGAATATGTAGTTGTCTTATTGACAAACAGTGAGACCATCTTTTTTTCTTTCTGATTTGATGGGCTATTTTGTCTATTGTGTAGATTTCGTTTTAATTCTATAAGCAAAACAAGCAGAAGAGCTCAAAAGAAAGGCCAATATCTGAGGAGATATAAACTGTTAACAAAAATTAAAACAAACATGCAGAACATCCTAGTGATACCTAGCAGGTAATACAAAAGTATGATATGAATTAAATTAAAGGAAATAAGGTATGTGTTGATCATTGCAAACCCAAAAACCAAACACACTGCCATTGAGTCGACTCCGAGTCATAGCAATCTCCACTGGGTTTCCGAGGCAGTAAATCTTTACGGAAGTAGATTGCCCAGTTTTGCTTCCGCAGAGTGGCTGGTGGGTTTGAATCATCAACCTTCTGGTTACTAGTCAGAGGCCTTTAGTCACTGTGCTACCAGAGCTCCTTGGATGATCATGGAAGGCTGGCATTTTTTGTCTATCCCATTCTCCTAATACTTCCCTCCATATACTATTTTCAATGTGGCTCAGGAAACCGTCATGGCAAAGAAGGAGGAGATGAGGAAATGACCCGTCAGAATGAGAAAGCCATATCCTATTCTGTTTCTGGAAACTCGAGCAAGGCATGAGCAGAAGTGCCTCATAAAACTTCACATGTGCAGAGTCAGCTTTTTCTCTTGCTGCAGTCTAAAAATAATAGTAACAATAGCTTACATTTAATAAATACACGTTATGTGTTAGGTACCATACTAAGTAGATTATATTCCACATTTAATATTCATGCAAGCCCTAGAAGGCAGGTACCGTTATCATTCTCACTTACAGGTGAGGAAAGAGGCTCAGGGAAGCTAAAGCACTTTTCCAAAGTCACACAAATATTAAGTAGAGGAATGGATTAAACACCTTTGTCCAGATCCCTCATTCTTTACCGCTAACACTCTACTGCTATCACCTTGGCTGCCCAGGGTGACGTCAGGCAGGCCAGCATTTGCTCTCTACAAAAGGAAGAATCAGCTTGGCCATCTATGACTCTCTGGATGAGTGGTTAGGTGACTTTGACTAATGATAATTACTTCACACCTGCGAAAGTCAATGAGGCAGG